GTTTTCTCTGAAATTAGAGAGACATTTCACGTATACTTTTGACAGGCGTACACGGCTGCAGTAATGCACAGTAAATCCGTACAAAACGCGAATCATTCGCCTGCATAATAATATATGATTGATAATTAAACAGTTGCAATGGACACGATTTATACTCTGAACGAAATGACTATTGTACTCAGCAACACTGACGAGTAAACGTTTTATTATTTATAAAATATTATGTCAGATTTTAATCACAAATTTTAAACATGACGCGGAGCAAATAATGTAGGTATGTTATGTTACACGATAAAAACAATTTGGCTTAGATAATTTAATTGTTTAAAATAAAATATCAATCGAGCATTGTAAAAAAGCTTAGTCGAACATAGCTAAAAGTAAAACACATTTAAGTACGCATTATTAATAGTATAGAGGCATCTACATTTACGGGAGTTAATTTTAATTTTCATCGACTATCCACCTAGAATATTATCATTGAAAACAATATTACAATTTAATGTATTTTTCTATTTATGATTCTTCCCACAGCTATAATTTGCTATAAACCAATAGCATCAGCTGTTATAATATAATATTTTAATAGTTATTTATATTATATATTGTTCAACGAGTTGTCGTGTTGGATTTGTTGAGCAGCAGCTTCTACGGTTTAATATTTTGATAGCGAGTAGATCTGCAGCTGATGTCATTTTTTGCACCCAAACGATAAACCCACCAGAGTAGTCATAAATTCCCTCACAAACGACGAAATCGTTGTATTTAAAGGTGTTCGTTTTACTTTCCATTCGACATGATAATATCATAATAATATTTATTTACGATTAGCACACGATTTTTGACTATTTCATTATTTGGATTGTCTAAAGTCTATGACATATTACCTACACGGTCGTCGGAACTATAGTGCATGTTTTCGCCATAATTAACGATGATAAATGTTTTCGAAAACTTAAATAATTACAAACAAGTCCAGACACGTTGTCGTTAACGTTGCATGGACAAAAACGGACTGGTAACAATATCGTTGTGGATCCACCTCGACAGGGACACCACCTTTGCGCAAATAAAATATTACAGAACAAGAACAAGACAAAAAAGTGTACCTACAGTCAAACGCGACCGACTATATTATATTATATTATAACAATTAATACATTATCTGCTATTATATTATGATAAAATAAAATGACAAATATTATACTAATCTAATTAAAACGAACAAATCAAAATAATATTGAAATACTGTTTTTCGGCTACTATACGACAATGACGAACCATAATAATGCGCATAACACGACACAATAACAATGTTATGCATCGGAATCATTAACGACTTAATATATATTGTTATAATATTATTATTGTAATATTTATATTATTATTAAAATATTTATATTATTATTATTATTATATTTATATTCTAGTTATTTACATGGTAATGATACCGCAGATGGTGATATACGGCGGCGGTATCAGAGCCGGGGTACGAATATATAGGCATAACTGGCGTCATTTGCCGGTACGATGAACCGTGTTGGAAGACAGCCACACTTCACACGCCTCAAGTTTAAAATGTGAAGTAGGTACATAATAATATAATTTTATTTTCTGCAGGGTAGACCACAACCACAACCACGACAACGACAATTACAACCATAAAAACAACGAACACGACGTACTAAAACAATAACGATCGTATTACATAATAATAATATTATTGCACGTGGAATGCACCAATAATCGGCACGAGCACAGCGACTGCAGGTGCAATAGAAGCGACCGCAGCGACGGTCAGACCCTCATTTCGCTCATGGCGGCCACGGGCATCTTGAGCGTACCGGTTTTGGGCATCTGACTGATGCCCACGCCCTGCTGCACGAGCAGAGGCTGCGACTCCTGCGATTGCACCCCCACCGAAGACCGGGGTGGCGGAGGTGGTTTGGGCAGCGTGCCGTGCACCAGCGACCCGTTGGGTGGACAGCCACCCCCGCCACCGACCTGGTGGTCATGCAGAAGTCTGGACGACGGTTTGGCCGCTTTCGGGAACGTCATGTCGTGTCCGGCCGCCATGCGCACCGCCGCTGTGGCCGCCGACAACTGTTGTTGTTGCGTGGTCGTCGTCATCGTCGCGGTTGTCTGAGGCGGCGTTGTATGCTGTCCACCGACGACAGTCGGCACGTGATGGTGGTGCATGTGATGGTGCTGATGGTGGCCACCAGTCCCGTGGAGGTGGTGATGCCTTTGTTCCATGTCCACGGCCACGGCGTCCGCGGCCAGGTGCATCTGCTGGCCCGGTGGATGGTGATGGTGCTGCAGGTGATGATGGCGACCGTCGTAACCGCCCGCCTTGTCGACCGACGCCGCGGCCGATTGCTGCAGTCGGTCGTCCGGAACGGTGGCCGCCTTGTACCTGACCGACTCCTCCTGTCCKCTGGCCGTCTGCTGGTGCTGGGGGTTTTGCAAACACTTAAACCTGTCCTTCTGGTAGCATATGATCACCAGCAGTAGGCCGTTGAGCACTAGCAGTGACACGCCTAGCGCGATGGTCACGTGCAGTGCCGTCGAGTAGGCCGCGTAACCAGCCGCACCGAGTGTGGCCAGCGCGTCTTCGGCCGACGTGGACACATTGGCCGCGTTCGAGCCGCGCGACGGCGGCAGGCACGTGGTAGTTTCCACCGCCGGCCACTGCGGCCGTCCCGTGGTCGTCAACGATTGCACCACCTCGGCCACCGTACCATTGGCCGTAAATCGGTTGACCGTTGCTCGCTGCGGCGCCCGCCTGGACAGCGGATCAGGCCTCACTACGCCTTCGTACAGTTCCGCGTCGTCGTGATTCCGGAACAAGTTGTGTCGGAGCATCACGTCCTCCATGCCGGCCCGGTGCAGTTCCGGTATGAGCCGTAACCACACGGACAGCTGGTGCGCCCGGAAGTGGTTCTTCATCCGGGGCTTCATGCCTGTAATCATTTTGAATAATCGAATTAGTATAAGTTGAACGTGTAGGTGCGATTTTTTTTTAATTGAGAATATTTTATTTTTAATAACCACGTTTCCGTTGGAATGTGAGGTAAAAAAATAATTCAATTGCGCGATAAAATATAATTCATACAAATCAAAATAAATAACCCTACTCTATCTTTTCAGAATTTAAAAAAAGATTTATATATGCATAATAAGCGTAAATGAAATAAAACAGAATACGGATTTTAAATGGCATCATCATTAAAAAGTGTAAAAAAAATCATATAAATAATTAATGACGATACATATATTGTCAATATTGATGTATGAAAATAAATAATAATAATAATAATAATAAATATAATAACAACAAACATTTAAAAACTATTCAGTAATTGAAATATTTTACACCGTATAAAATGCAACCAGAAAAACAAATATTGTTCAAATAATATGAAAATAATGTAATATACCTACCTACCTATAAATTCATGCATTAAATATAATAATTATTATTATTAGAAGTTATGTATATTGGATTTTAATCCACTTTTTAAAACGAAAAAAAAATAAATTATAATATTGCAATAAAATTATTTGATACCTATCTGCAGGTGAATATTAGATTAATTATTATTAGATTAACTTACTATAAGTTCTAGTTCTATTGGAGTTAGTAAAGCATTTCTCATCTTAGGCTTTAAACTTGTAACGAAGAACGATCAATAATCTACTTATATATTTGTGTGTTTTTTTCCAATAGTACTTGCATAGTTTTATCCATAAAAGAGTGGATGGATGGTAAAAATATAAAATGTATCGCGAGTTCATGAACTCATAATAATATAAAGAATCCTGCTGCAGCCACTACATTTGCAAACTTTGCGCTACGGATGTGCTATTTTATTTATTCAATGACTGAAAGATGAAAAATGTAATTTATTTAAATGGTACTGTATKTTACAAAATGTATATACAATTGACAAACGTCTGAAACGAAACTATATGAAGAAAGACGGTTAGTGTTTGTGTTGGGCGTGACTTGTGCAACTTTTAAGCGTCTTCGTGTATGTTATATTTCAGTAATAGTTCTCATTGATAAAACAGAATAAATATTATATGTAAAATAAACCACGATTAATCATAGTCGTGTTTATAAGCTAGTAATAATTAATTATTATAATTATAATTATACCTCAATAGTTTTTATACTAACTGCATTATTTATGTGTTGTAAAAATAATTCTAATTAAATATTAAATCAGAGAACATCATGTTTTATTTATACAAATTTTTCTCGCGTCACGTTGCGTCGTATCAAAATAATTCCAAAATATTATAAGTATATGATAGTTTTGATTAAATTTAAATAAGTACCAATGCATGAAGTATTTAGATAAATTTAACACAAAACTTTATTTAATTTTGCCAAATCCATTTTAATCAAATGGGAATTAGATTGTCACGTTAAAGATATTAGTGATATATATCCCGGCGATAAAACGTAGAAGTCCAAATAATATCAATATTGTCACTTTTATTCATTTTCACTAGTGTAAACGATTATTGATTAACACAGATTTAATAATACTTTGGTAGAGTTTCAATAGAAAATTTAAATTTTAAAAACACTTTTGTGTTGTATATTTTTGAATAAATGTAAAGCTGACGGTGTTTCTAAAAATATTATATTTGGATATACTTTATATGTACGATGTATTCCTATTTAAGTAATATTTAAACTTTAAAGAATCATTTGAACATTTTTTTACTATAAATATCCATAGATGAAAAAGAAATTTTCCAGCTTAAGTTACTGCATTAAAAAATAAATAACAAACATAAATATCAATAAAGAATAACTGGCATATTAACAAATCTCATTTATAACAAAATATATTGAAATATAAAATTTATTGCATTATGCTAACATTATATTCTTCGAATATGTCGATAAGGACATAACAATATATTCATCCAAAACAAAAAAGCGCCAGGAGCATGAGCATAATTTAGTGCGAAAAAATATATATCTTGGATTTTATTGTTAGGAAATATTGATATACAATATAATAATTATTATTATTTTTTATTTGTGCTTCTTGATTTTTTTTCAGGTTTGTTTTAATCAATCACATTTTAAGGTACAGATTTCAGAGTTTAGATTCAATCGTTGCAGGTTGGTGTGTTTCAAAATATTAATTCAAAATTATATAAGTACCTATTTTTACTGAATTTTTACAATTTATTTTTATTTATTCAAAAATTGTTTAAAATATAATATGAAGCCATATATTACAAAGAAATAATTAAAATGAAACGAAAACGACAGTGTACACGCAAGTAATTGTTTGACTTGCTGAGTATTAAAAATTAAACACATTTCATAATATTCTGTAATTATATAAGAACCTACAAAAGGGGCTATAAATGTTTTCAAAGAATAGTATAAAGGTAAACAGTAAACAATGTCATGTTTATATCAATATTCAATTTTAAATAAGAATGGCAATGAATCTGTCAATTTAAATTTGTGAAAATTGACATTGACAAAAACACAAAAACAAAATAATAAATTTTATGAAGTTCAGCAGAACTATACCGATGAGGAATTTACCAAGCAGATGAAATATTTAAAAACGTCCGAAAAGTTTGCATTTATTGCACCTATACGTATCAGCTACAAAACTAAATTACAAAACTGTCGAAATTCACAAACAGCTATAAAGATTATAGTGCTGCATAACCCATTGACGATGACAATTAATAACAGTTTCAGTCCAAATAACTTCGTCGATCACCCAAAATAATATTGTAGTATACATATCTCCTCTGCACTGTTCAACTGACAAACAGTCTTAAATTATATGAATTAATAACTGTGTATCCGTCTGTTTCGCGGTTGTATATATAGTAGGCATGAATGCACCATGGTAGTATAAGTTGGAGTATGGTATCAGACAAAAGGTCTCTGGGCTGCAGGTGCTCTTATAATGTGAATATCGAGCAACTTTAAAATCAATACTTACGTTTTATAGGAACTATAACGTTGTATAACGATAATTCAATTTTTAAGTTAGCTCTTATACGAAAAAATAGTTTTATACGACTAAAGGAACATTAGCGATTAGTGATTACGTATTGTCGTAGGATATATATTTAAATTAGACTGTCATTAGATATTAGAGATAAAAACGATAGTAGGTACGCACAACAAAAGTGAATACTTAAATTAATATTTAATTGAAATTGAAATTAAAATATTTTATACAAATATTGTACACAAATATTTAATAAAGAACGCACTGCAGATAAAAAAAAAAATATAAATATAATATTTTAATTATTTATTATGTTTAACTTTGAGCGTTAAATGTGTTTAACAGCAGTTCATTGTTCATTTTTCACTTCAAAAACAAAATAAATATAATAACGGCTGCAGAAAATATTATTAAATAACTGTAAAAAATATGATTCATGAATACTAGGCCTCATATTATATGATATTTGGTTGAAACAATTCCTTGAAAACCCGTAATCTTGTTAATTCAAATAATAATGATAAAACTTAAAATATTATCAAACATAAGGTAAAAACTCGACGAAACAATAACTCTGCGTACCTTGATGAATTGCAATGGTTTGATAGCGAACATTATTGTATGTCAATAATCTAACTTGTGCAGTTGGTCTTATATAGGTTAGAAACCTTGTTGCAGTTAATCGTTTAAAACAGTATTTAGTTGTTTCGTGGAAGTCAAAATAAATAATAAATCTTTTATTTAACTTACAGGAGTAAAAATTATTTTAGGAAATGTTAGAGGAAACCAATTACGCACTGAAAACTGAGTATAAAAGAGATTTTTGATCTGTGACGATGATGCTACGTTAGTTCTGTATTAATATATAATAATGTTAGGTGCACGAGAAAGCAATAGCGCTGGATTCATTTTAACGTAAGTTTCACAATTTTGAATGGTATTTCGGTTTATTATAGTGTAATATTGATGAGAATGTGAAATGGTTAAATAAATAAATAATTAAAGTTTCCTTCAAACACTGCAGTTTTGAGCAAACCTAATGATGAATGAGTAAATATAAGACGAGTATAATATAAGTATAACGTTTCAAAATAATATGTTCTAACTTCAAATGAAAAAAAAAAATGGCAAATGTCAACGTATTAAATTAAATTTTATACTCACTTATTTCTAAATACTTTTGATGCACCGGATCATATTCATCCCATGTTACGCTTCGAAACCTGTTCCGCTCTTTGGATCCGGAATCGGGCTTATCATCGTGATCGTTTGGATCCCTGGAGGGAGAAAAAATATACAATTTTAAAAATAATCGTGCAAGAAAAACGAATGTCAGAAGACAAATTTATTCACCATGGATATTATTCGTTTACAAAGCACATTTGTCTTTCAGACAACCGATAAGGACATTTTTTCCCATCTATCCACCCTACAGCTTTTGCCGGAGACAAACAACAAAATCCCAAAAGCATTTTCTAATTTCAAGGCCTGGGGTCTATTTCAGTATTATCCCGATCACAACCCTTCCATACCACCAGCATCGAGGGCAAGGCGTTGTGTCCAGTGTATTAAAAAGAAGTAGGTTGGACACGCCCAAATGAATGAACATTTTACTACGTAAAAGGTCCATTTATCATTCGGTATAACATTTGCAAAGAACCTCCGTATTTTTTTTTTTACTATGTTGTTTTCGTATTAAACACGTACAAGAAGCACATCGACAATCGACAGAGCTTAAAGCTGTCCGACGACGATATTAATCGAATTTGATTGAAATCATTCGAGATATAACGATATTATTATATATTTAAAATGCTAACAACTATTATGCATTTTTATTCAATTAAATTCAAACGTATAAAGAAAAAGGGATTTATTTTTGAATAACTTAAAATATTTTTTCGGTTCTGAATATTGTTTTTTTTTTTTATTGTCTACCGACATTGAACGCTGCAACCGTTTTCCTCTCACCGGAAATTAATATTTAAAATTTACAACAAAAGACATCAAACATKCTATAATGAATAAAAAGTTATCATTTTAATTTTACTTACTTATTCACTTATATTATAGGTATGTATATTGTATACTACACATTGTATCAGGCCCGTAGCCAGACAAAATTTTCAGGAGGGGCAAAGCAAATTTTTTTTTTTTATTATATATAAAAACAATATTAATGCAATTTTTAATGTATTTACATTTTACACTGACATATCATTAAATTAACACAACTATAATTTTCCATCTAATATAGTAATATCCATTTATAAAAGAATATTTTGGGAATTTACAATGAAACATTTATTTTAAAATTACAAAACGAAATTCGTTTAACGAAATAATACTAAATAATAAAAATAAAAATTAAATTAAAGTTTACGTAGATAATTATAATATTCATAATATTCACTGATCATATTTGCATAATATGGTTAAATGTGGAACATTTTAAAATTAATTAATACAGCTTCAATATTTTAAATATTTTATGAACAATATTCAATATTCAAACCAATCAAATAATTTAAACCATTGACTTCTAAAAGATCTACCACCCACATTAGGATACGACGGAAGAATTATTTGATTTTTTTTATGTGTTTGAAAAATCGGTTGACTATTTGTTTCATTAATTATTGAAGTATTTTCTGATGTTTTATCATTATTTGAAAAACTTTTGGGCGTTTTATTATTTTCGATAATAATATTTTCAGATGTGTTTTTGGTTGTTTTGATTACCCATGAATCCATATTATGTGTTTATGTTTGATAAAAACTAAAACTAAAAATAATATTTTGTTTGATTACCTATTTCATTATATTAATTATATATATTTCAATTTAATTATATTTATTTATAAAAAATTTCGCTTTTTGAATTTGCCTCAAATTTAATAAGTCTGAATTTAAACATAATACAACAATTTATTAACTTACCTTTAAATAACAGTGATATATTTTTTTGGCACACGTGTACTATACTAGCTATTGCAGTCGGGCCAGTCGGCGATAAAATGATAACGAATAAATGATACCTATCATTGCATTCAAATTTAACCTACCCTAGTCAGAGGTCCACCCCCACCCCCTAATGTACAGCAGAGCGATACCCACTTACCCGCTTTTTTTTTATTATATGATAAATATCTATTCTGATTAAAGTTTCTTAAAAACGTATGAAAAAAAAAAATTAATCAATTAATTTATTAAATTTATTAATTATTATAATAGGATATTTGACAAGAAGTTTCTTAAGTGTTAAGTGCTACCTTAAATCAGACTCTTAATGTAATCGTCAATTGAATAGAAATTAATTTCTCATATTTTAAATATATTTAAAAAAAAAAACTAATAAATATATATTTTCTAAAACCATGTAATCACGAAAGAATTATCATTATATCTGTTTAAGTATAAACTACTATATTACAAAGAGACAGTAAATTGCAGTATAAAACTTAATTTTTATGAAACAAAATGAATGGTAATAATATTGTACAACTGTTTTTAATTATTCTTGATAAAATTACAATTATACCGATTCAGTAAAAATTTAATATAGACTAATACAAGTTAAATCGTATTTGTAAACATAATATATATTATTTTTTTAAATATATTTTTAAACGGGTGAAGTCTTGATGTAATACGCGATTATTACGTCCTGATACTAATTAATTGACATTAATGTGATTACTTCTGTCTCCGATATTTCTAGTTGAAAACCAAGTTTGTTAACCATGTCTAAAAGTTTATTAACGACACTCAACGGTATTAAAACCGTCAGTGTCACAATTCAAATATAAAATAAAAACTACAATGACTAGGTTAGTATTATATGTGAGTTTTAGAATTTAAAAGGAAAAAAAAATTAGAAATGTTCAACCTATAATCTACCATAATAATTGTACACGCGATGACGTTATATAATTGTGCAACATTGTTGTGTAAATATTAACTACCTAATAGCAATATTTTATAGTTATATTATACGAAAGGTCGACGTTTAATTTCGTCGTCTTAGTTCGGTATGATTTAAGCTAATGAAAAATTGTTCATGGTTTTTTAAACGCTGGAATTAACGAAACCATCGCGATCGTTGCCTACACGATAAATGTACAAATTAGCGCAACTTATTGTCGTATAGACAGAAAAAACAGTGAACTACAGCAGCATACATAAATATTATAACACAATAATAATAATAATAATAGTATGAAAAATAGTCATATTTCAATATGAAAAAAAACAACATCACAATAGTCAATAATAGATATATTTTATTTGCAAACGACGAAGTTATTATTGGCTAAGATAGAGGTCAGATTAGTTATTATACCTCTCATGACCTAACTTTACCTATAATAGACGCATGTCGATAGTTCAGGTCATCGATAAAAAGTTTTTTTTTTGTATACGAAAAACTGCTAATATTGCTCTTTTGAAAATCAAACCATGTTTCCTAGGGAAATACGATTTTCAATGAGTTTTCATGTTATCTTGTAGGTACATGTACGTAATAAAGTTACGCCACGTCGTCGTGAAAATCGTTAGTTGATATGTACATAGGCGCAATTAGGTGGGGGCTTAGCCCCCAAATATTTTTGTTGTCTCCCAAATATTTTTGTAGCCCCCCCCCCAAATAAAGTCATGAATTACGAATTTTTTATTCGTCATAGAAATAAAATTGGCAAATTTTTTTTTTGATTAAAAAAAAACCTGAAATTATTATTATTTCTGTTATTATTCAGGTTGCACATTCCATAACAAAAATATACATTACAGTCACACTGGTTATATTTGTTGTCACCGTGGTTGTCACTTATCAGTTATCAGCTAACAGTTGACAGTTATCATATCGCTGTTCAAATGTTTGTGACGAGCCATCGTTTTCTAATTGACTAATTATTATTCAAATTTATTGAAAATAACGATAATGTCTACGACTAACTATTTTGACATTTTTAAACCTAAAAGTATAAAAAATGCTAATGGAGAAAAAACAAACATTAATTTGATGAAGGTAGTAACTACTGCGAGTGTGACTACAGTGACTACAGTCACCGAAATTACTACGAACTCTAAATTGGATCTTGGTGATTTAACTTCTGGTCCTGTAAGACCTATTTTAGAGGTAAGATATGTGACATTAAAACTCGTAGTTCACTATTACTATAGGTAATCAATATTATCCTAAAATGCTTATTGCTTATAAATCTGTGATCTGGTTTTTTTAACTTGCACAATGACATATTTACTCTTTTCTTGCATTTTTGATTACTGCTTTGTGATATTTAGGTTTACCCAAAAACTAAGCATGGTAATCAGAATCGCTCATTTTCTGCTGCTTATTTTAATGAATTTAGGTTTAGTGTGACTTATACAATTCTAGCCCCCTCTCCCCCACCCCAAAAAAAAAAAATTGACCCTAGTTGCGCCTATGAATATGTATAATCGAAATCGAATATGTATGATGTCAAATGTCGATAGAGTTGAAGTCACTATTGGTTATGTTTGGTGGGCAGACTTAATTGTATTACCTTAATGTATATACTGTTATACTATTATACTATACATATTATATAATAACATAATGATGACATTATATTTATTATATGTAAACGACTTGTCTTGTCACCGCCCAGTTTAAATGAATTATTATACTCGGAAACCGTCAACTGCACAAACCCTATTAAATTATTAGTCGAGTTTTATCTCATCAAACCCGCCGCCGGCGAGTAATTAAGGTCAACCTCGGTGGTATTATTCCCTCAGTCCTCGTTTTTTTTCCTTTTTCACTTTTATTTCCGGTTCGTTTGCCTTTCCTCGTCGCGCACACTGCGGCAATATATACACATATACTAGTAATATGATATTATATACATATTAAAATATATTGAACGAACCGACGACGACGCGGTCTTAAGGTTTACCCCGTTGGGTGGGCAGTGTACATAGATAGAAATCGTTTTTAATTAACCGCAAAAATGTCCGTTCATTATACAAGCCACGATTTCCACCCCGCCGCCGCCGCCGCCGACCAACGAACTGCGGTGATTACTGGTGGAGGCACATCCTGCCACCGCCACCACTGGCTCAACAATCGCGGACTTTCAGAAACGACTTCACGTGTACCACTTACCACCACCATATCCATCCCTTTACAAACCCTCCCCACCCACTCAACAAACTTACACACCGGGTTTCGGCTTAAGCAGTATTTAATATACTGTTACACCCGCAGCTGTATAACACTGAACGTTGATCCCTTAAG